ACCCCAACACTGTCTTCTTTGCATCTTTCCGAGCATCTGCTGCGTAAGTGTTTTGTATTCTCTTTTGATTCATATTCCATATGACATCTTGGGCGAAACTCACATGTCATCGTTTGTCATTTGAGCAAGCCTCCAAGTTATTACTTAGTTCACAGAGTGGTCTTTAGTTCTTAAGGAAATCAGACTGGATTAAAATGAAGTGAGAAGGCATGTTTAAAAGGAATTTGATATGTGCATTTGATACGCCTTTTCTCATTGGGTTGAGTTTTTCATAGGAATCCATAAGTTGGGATAAGGGTGATTCTAACCGCGTTTTTAGGGTAGCTCCCGGTCTAGTTGCAGTGGCACCAAATGTGACCCCATGATGTGGATATGCTTGTCTGGACAGCAAATCTTCCTTCCTCCCACTTGCCATGTAACCGGCTTAGCTCTTGTGGTTTCATGGCACTGTCCCTGTTCCAGGGGTACAGAGCGACCCAGGCCTGATCAGTCAGAGTACCCCATCCCCGCCAAATACACAGAATGGTTCAGGGATTCTCACATGACCCAGCCGATCAGAGAGAGTCTTTCCAGGGACATTTATTTGGAGTCATGAGGAAACAGACTCACTGTTCATCTGTGATTATGAGCCATGGAAGCAATCAATGATAAAACCCAAATGAGCAGCAGAATTGAGAGGTGGAAAACACCAGTGTCCTGATGATGTTGTTTGAACCTCCACATACCCCGGAAGTAGTTTGCCCCCCTTGGAATTTCCAGTTTCAAAACCCAACACACTCTCCATTTTTGCTGGAGCAGGTTTGAGTTGGGTCTCTGTCATTCACCAGCATAAAATGAAAATATCCCCCACGACCTCCTCAACCACTTAGGCACTTGATCTCCAAACAGAAGAACTTCTCAAGATTTAGTCTCTAAGACTGCAACGTAAAGCTGGGAAGGCCCAGGATGCTCAACTAGAACACGAAGCCTCAGGTTAAGTTCTGCATTTGAAGATGCTGCCTGAGTATCCTTGTCCTTGAGCCGCATGCTTACTCCCTCTTATTTCAGTTCTTCCAGATTTTGTTTAAAAAATGTTTTAATGTTGGGGCGCCTGGGTGGCGCAGTCGGTTAAGCGTCCGACTTCAGCCAGGTCACGATCTCGCGGTCTGTGAGTTCGAGCCCCGCGTCAGGCTCTGGGCTGATGGCTCAGAGCCTGGAGCCTGTTTCCGATTCTGTGTCTCCCTCTCTCTCTGCCCCTCCCCCGTTCATGCTCTGTCTCTCTCTGTCCCAAAAATAAATAAACGTTGAAAAAAAAAAATTTAAAAAATGTTTTAATGTTTATTTATTTTTGAGAGAGAGAGAGAGACAGAGAGACAGAGCGTGAGCAGGGGAGGGGCAGAGAGAGAGGGAGACACAGAATCCGAAGCAGACTCCAGGCTTCTGAGCTATCAGCACAGAGCCCCATGCAGGGTTGGAACCCACGAACTGGGAGATCATGACCTGAGCTGAAGTCAAGCGCTTAATGGACTGAGCTGAAGTCAAGCACCCAGGCACCCCTAGAGTTAGTCTTAATAATCTTTACTGTTCTTGTTAGGACTATTGCCAGATACTTTATTTTCTGTCACTGTTGTAAAGGAGACCTTTTTCCATAATGATACCCAATCGCTTATCATTGAATCAAAAGGAAGCTTTTTTTTTTCTTTTGAAGATTACCCTGAATACTGCCACTTTGTTGAATTTTCTTACCAAACCAAACCGGTTTTCCACTGAATCTTGTTAGGGCTCTAGTTCGATTATCATCATTCGCAGCCAATACGATTATCTAGAATCTTCTTTCTCATTAGTAATGCTTCTTATTTCTCCTGCATGCTCAGTATTAGAGGTTATAACAATTGCTTGGCTCATTTTTTTAAAGCGCATGACTCTTAATTAGCAAAACAGAATGTCCATACTCAAGCTTTGTGCCAGAGAACATGACTTTGACCTGGTTACTGTTTAACTCTTATCCAAACAATCCAGAGAAATGGTGCTTAGGGTGGGTAGTTTGAAGGATGTGAGTCGATTCTCTGGTAGTTTAGATTTTGTTCCTGGATCAAATTAGATTGTCCGAGAGCCTCACATTTGCTCCACATTGTGTTGGCCCCTCAGAGTTGTGCTTTGTCTTCCTCCCTTGATTTATATCAGGAATAGTATAAAACCACCTGAAAAATCTACCACGATTATTTTCAAGGGTTTTCTTTAGGTCATTGTCCATGCCATCACGTAGTAACCTAAATATACAGAAAGACACAGGATAGGGGCGCCTGGCTGGCTCAGTCGGTAGAGTATGCGACTCTTGACCTTGGGGTCGTGACCCTGAGCCCCTTGTTGGGTGTACAGACTACTTAAATAAAGAAAACTTTAAAAAAAGATTTTTTTTAAAGAGAGACCTATGATTAAAAAAAAAAAAAATTCAATACTACAGTCCCAGAAATGGCTGTTGGCGTAACTCACTAATGTTAGATTTGGGAGTCCTTGGTCCTCCAAACTACACGGTCTAAAGTGCTGTGGGGCTAAGTTGTACAAATGGGGCTCTGGTAGCAGAGGGATTGGATTAATTCACAAATGTCTTAGCAGATAAAGTTATATATGGAAAACAGGAACACATCTGAGAGAAATAAGCCAGAGGAAGGTCTCTCTACCAGAGGAAAAGAACAGATACATGGATCATTAGCAAAAGTCCATTTATATGAAAATCAAAAGCTGCATACTTCTACACCCTGAATCCCAAATCCTCTCATTGGAAAGTGGTTTATGATCATAGCTTTGGCTTTTAGGAGAGATTAGTACCAGAAATAACTATATGAGAATTGTTTCCGAATTTATGATACAAAATGTTGTCGAGAACCTCATCCGGAGGTTCCCAGATAAAAGTGTTCATGCAAGAATTTCATTATGGGAAATCTTTGACTCCTTTTTCAAGTTCCAATGTTTTCTCCTTCGGGGCGCTGACATCTGGGTATCCCTGAGTTTCCCTTTCCTCACCCCTCCACGCGGCTAAGAAGCTCAGGACAAAATTTCCCACTCAAGCAGAACGAGCCTTCAGATGACATCTTACCCATCTTCCTGGTTTTAATTTCCTTACTAATTTGTTTGCTTTATCATTAAAGCTTTTTGTAGGTCATCCCAAATGTTTTTGGAAAAAAGGCCAGGTATGCATGGCATTTTGTTTCTATTGTTAGGGGTTTGTTTTTCAGGGCTCAGAGGAGTCTACTAGGTTGAGATACTAAGGGGGAGTGACTGGGGCAGCCCCCTCCTACAGTCAACTTAAGATAGGGATTGCCACCACAACTTCGTAAAGGAAGCCACCCAGGTTCCTCGCCAGAGGACCGGAGAATGCATGCCCCACCTAGGGGAGGCAATGCCACTCAGCCTCTAAGAGGAGGTTGGTTTCTTGAGGTAATGCAAACCCAGATTGCCAGGTTTTACAATTTTTCAGGAAAAGCTAGAATTCAAGATTTTAAAGGGAATTCTGGTTTTTGAAATGTTAACAACTAGTTCAAATTCTTTAAAACACTTTGGACCCGCAGAAGACAGGATAGGATGGTGGCCGATGAGGAATAAGGGTAAGAGGAGTTGTTCCTTGGTGGGTAGAAGTTTTGGTTATACAGGATGGATAAGTTCTAGAGATTTTCTGTACATCGTGCCTACAGTAACAACACAGTATCGTGCATTTAAAAATCTGTTAAGAGGCTACTGGGGCGCCTTGGTGGCTCAGTCGGTTAAGCGTCAGACTTCAGCAGAGGTCATGATCTCACGGTTCATGGGTTCGAGCCCCGCGTCTGGCTCTGTGCTGACAGCTCAGAGCCTGGAGCCTGCTTCAGATTCTGTGTCTCCCTCTCTCTCTGACCCTCCCCCGTTCATGCTGTCTCTCTCTGTCTCAAAAATAAATAAATGTTAAAAAAAAAATTTTTTTTAATGTGTTAAGAGGTTAGACCTCATATTATGTGCTCTTACCATCACCACCACCACCACAACAAAAAAGACGACATACAAGGAAACCTCTGGAAGCGATGGGTATGTTTATTATCTTGATTGTGGTAATATCATAAGTCCATGCATATGTCCAAACTCATCAAATCGTATACATTAAATATTTGCTAGTATAGGTGTACGTATCCCATACACATTTTTCTTTTGTAAACACAAAACTCTGGACCAAGCCACCATCTGTGACCCAGACCTGGGCCTTTGGGCTCTGAGACATCTGGGAGCAGGTTTTAGAAACCCAGTTACCAGGAGACAAAGTAAGAAATCTGCCACCGGGGAGCTGATGTCATAATGGCACTGAGGATCACCCTGACTTTGACCTGAGTAATAAAGTGCTCGGTCTGAGAAACCAGAAGCTTTGGGCTCTGTCGAGGTTTTTGTGGGCGTGATTAGTAGCAAAAGGCCTGCACTTGAGATCTGGGAAGCTAGCTTTGAGCTTGGCTGTGCCAGCCACGAATCCCACGCGGGCTGGGTGAAGCCATGGGATTTCCAGAGTCCTCCAGAGCACTCCCTGCACCCAGAGGAGGTTAGGTATGATCTGTGGATCTTTCAAATTCTGTATTTCCCAAAGTATCCTATCAGAAACCCCAAAAGATATGTGAGCATGAGAAAAGAAGTCTCCACTCATCTTTCAATCATGTACTTGTACCGAAGAACTGTCTAAATTTCCACTGTTGCCACAAACACCAAATGAGCTGGATTTCCAAGGGTGAGTTCCCAAACAAATCACAATACAAAAATACGAGACAGGTGGACTCCCAATCTCCACCAAAGGAAACTTTACTATCACCCTTTCCTACCAATGAAAACATGGTCACAGTAGGCTTCAGTGCTTTACCACTTTTCGAAAAGGTGGAGTTAATACTTAATAATTTATGAGCAGGGGGCCATTCAGACATACACTTTTGTTACGCCTCACCTTTTTTGGTAAATAAAAAAGCTATCACAAACTATCACGAGCCGACTGTCTACAATGCTTTCAGAATCCACAATTACTTTAACTCTGCAATGATTGCTTCGAGTTTTTCTGTAACGGCGCCGCAAAATTCGCCCACCTTTTCTGCTTTCTTATAAAACTGAAAGGTTGGGATGCACATGATCTCAAGGTCCTTCACCAGCTCATCACACTCATCAGCATCCACTTCCAGGAACACCACGTCCTCGTACTTGACAGACAAGGAATGGAAAAGGGGCTTGATGGTCCTGCAGGGCCCACACCACGTGGCTGAGAAGTCCACGGCCACCAGCCTCTCCCCAGCCTCCTTGAGCGCCAACTCGAAGTCCTCCTTGCTTAGGATCATCTTCACCAAGTCCACTTCCAGAAGCTCCATTGACCCTGATGCCTTCAGGACGTCTCCTTCTATGGGCGGGATGGCTTCTTTTGAGGACTTGGGGATATCACCTTCCTTAGGCTGGATGCTGTCTTCTGAGCAATTGGTGTCACCCTCTCTGGGCTGGATGCTGTCTTCTGAGCACTTGGTGTCACCCTCTCTGGGCAGGATGTTTTCTTCTGAGGACTTGGGGATGGGGATGTGTTTGGACAGGGTAGATTTCACTAATAGCTTGGGGCTGTTGATCTGTTTAGACAGGAAAGGTTTTGCTGAGAACTTAGGGGTGTTGGCCTCTTTGGGCAGAATGGATTTTGCTAAGAACTTGGGACTCTTGCCCTTCGTAGGCAGGATGGTTTTGGCCGGGGACATGGGGATGTTATCCTGCTTGGGTGGGATGTTTTTTTCTAAGGAAGTAGACATTCCATCCTCCTGCAGCAGGGTGGTTTTTTCTGAGGAACTGGGGGTGTCACCGTGCTCGGGTGCAATAATTTTTTCTGAAGAATTGGAGCTATCAGCCTGCTTGGGTGGGATCCTTTCTTCTGAGGGATTGGGGGTATCACTCTCCTTGGGTAGAATGACTTTTCCTGAAAAATTTGGGGTGTCAGTCTGCTTGGGTGGGATGCTTTTTGCTGGGGAATTGGGGATATCAGCCTGTTTGGGTGGGGTGATTTTGGTTGGGAAATTGAGGGCATTGCCATGCTGGGGCAGGATCATTTTTGCTGAAGAACTGGGGATACTGCCATGCTTGGGTTGGATGATTTTTGCTGAAAACCTGGGGGTGTCAACCTGCTTGGGTGAGATGGATTTTGCTGAGACACTTGGGATGTTAGCCTGTTTGGGTGGAATGGGTTTTGCTGAGGGATTGGAGATGCCAGCTTGCTTGAGCGGGATCATTTTTTCTGGAGAATTGGGGGTATCAGCCTGCCTGGGCAGGATCATTTTTGCTAAAGAATTGGGGATACTGCCCTGCTCGCGAGGGATGATTTTTGCTGAAAAACTGGGGGTGCCAGCCTGCTTGGGTTGCATGGTCATTGCTGAGAAATTGAAGATGTTACCGCCCTGTGCCGGTGGGAATATGACCTTGAGCTGTGGACCTTTGGATTGCTTTGCAGGCATGTGTTGTATGTTGTCGGCCTCCGAAGCCGAGGCCTTCTCCTGGATGTGTGCTGTGTCCAAGAATTCTGGGACCAGGGGAGTCACATGGTTGGACAGGCCCTGTAATAATGGACTTTCTGAACAAAAAAGTAAATAAGTAAAAATGCAAGAGAAGAAACAACAACAAAAATTCTTATCACGTACTCCAGGGAAGACCAATGCCATGGTTAGAGCCCACAAATGTAGTTTTGTGAATGACGCATCACTGTGAAAAATCACATTCAACAGAAGGCCAAGCGGCATGTGATTACGCGTATCTTTTGGTAGAGTTGTTTTTTTTTAAACTACAACTTTTCTCTGCTTCAATACTGCTGTCTGCTCCTTGAGCACGTAGGTCCCTAAGGTGACCTCCCCCCTGCCCCCGCACTACCCCCCCCCCCCCGCCTTACCATTAGCATCACCTTGATCTGCTTCTTGTTTCTCTGGACTCATGTTCGGAACTTCCGGGGTTCCAGCTCTGTCACTTTCCACTTCCTGTTCCTTGTCCATATCCACTCAGACTTCACACGTGCCTCAGAGTGGAGACGAGGCTGTACCCTCCAACTTTCTCCAGCCTCTCCTGCCTGACATCATAATATGAGTAACGACTTGCATTCGGGTGGTACTCACGGCTGGCTTTCCCTCTTTGTACTCAGAGCAGTAGTATTCGAGAGTCTCGTGACAGCCTTGGTTATGGTGGCCGTGCCGTGTGTTAGGCTGTGCCCGGTGCCTGATGTGCATTCATAGGCATTATTTCCTATAACACAACAAACCACTGAGGTAAGTATCATTATGATCCCCGCCTTGCAAACAAGAATATTGAGCCCTGGAGAAGTTATGTAACTTGCTCAAGGTCACAAAGCCAGGAGATGGGCGGGTTCCAAGCCTGCTCCCTGAACGCTACGCTGAACTGTGCCGTTTGCCAAATCCCTGCCCAGCATGGTAACTCGAAACCACCTTTCCTACAACCTTCCTCTAGGACTCTCCGGCTCCAGCTGTCCCTTTCTGACTCACCCGCCCTAACCATCTAAGTGTTTCCTCCTAATCACGTTACCCTCCTCTGCAAAGTCCTGCCTGACCGTCAGGTGTTCGATTTGACTATTTGGAAGGGAGTAGATTATGACGCAGAGAAATTTCCTGAGAAGTGAAAACGTCACACCTTCCATCCCAATAGATGGGGAGCCAAGAGAACAGGTACATAGATGTGTTCAGAGGAAAGCTGACAGCAGAGGAGTATTTGCCTGGGCTCCATTGGGGAGGCCAGGAAACACCCACATTCACATGGACTCCTCATCGACATGGCAGCGTGGGTCACTGGCAGAGGGTGTCACTGGATTCTTGGGCCTGGCGCAGGCTCCTCGCCCCACAGCCTGCTCTACCCATGCCAGGGATCTGGAAATCCTGCACAGCCAGTGCTGGGGATGCGAGCGTCCCGCGAAGACCGGCAGACCTATAGGGGCCTCGAGGAAGAAGCGAGAAGCCACTATGAAGGGGGATTTGTGATGAGAGGGCAACGACTGGAGTGACAGGTTCAACCAGTGGGTGAGAGCACGGTGCCCCAACCCTTAGATGGGCCCGGTGGTCCTCAGCAGTCCTTAGTCGAGGCAGCAGGCCAGAGTAGCCCCTTTACATGCAGAATCGGAGCCAGAGGGCCGGGCCACGACTGGGCTGCACGGCCCTGTGCACTCAGATATTGTGGAGAAAGGGGAGGAATTGGAAAGACTGAGCTGCTACCAGAATGAGAAAGCGTGCATCAGGCTGAAAGTCCACAAGCAGGCAGATTGAATTCCTGCCCCTCACTCCTCGAATCCCCATCGAGACAAGGCTCGTGGAGGAAGGAGATCCACTGTAGGACAATTTTAAAGCCATAGTATATTTGCACTTCTTCATGAAAGTGAGGAGATCTGTGACCATGGTACATTCATACTTGGGGACCTGAGGACCTGAGCTGTGTTTTAGGTTTGGCAGAGTTGTTCGAATTATTTCTCCTCTTCAGTCTGAAATTCAGATGGATTCCAAGCAACCGGAAATATCAACGCCTCTGAATCATTTTCATTCAACTTGTCATAAAATGTATCTTTTTCCCTTAAAATGTATTTTCTCCTGGGGCGCCTGGGTGGCGCAGTCGGTTAAGCGTCCGACTTCAGCCAAGTCACGATCTCGCGGTCTGTGAGTTCGAGCCCCGCGTCAGGCTCTGGGCTGATGGCTCAGAGCCTGGAGCCTGTTTCCGATTCTGTGTCTCCCTCTCTCTCTGCCCCTCCCCCGTTCATGCTCTGTCTCTCTCTCTGCAAAAATAAATTTAAAAAAATAATAATAAAATAAAAAAATAAATAAAATAAAATGTATTTTCTCCTTTAGCACAAGCTGGCCCCCAAATTGCTCCTGAACCCTTATGTCAGTTGTGGTTCTGTGAGGGAAACAATAAATCAGCTATTCTAGGCATAGAAAGATTTATCTAATTATAACATAGCTGGAAAGGCTGCCTTTGGGCTAGATATTCTGGAATAATTCCTAGAAAAATGAGCAGGGCTGCAGACCTGGCCTGCCAGGGGGTGCGACCTTCATGATATCAGGAAGGCAGGAATCAGAAAGTTGCCACTAAAATGGTTGACCTCAAGAACTTTCTGTTCCAGCTGCCAACCAAGGGTGAGAGAGCCACCGCTCCAACTCCCTCTCAGCTCAAAACTAGGGCTGAACTAGAAAGCTAGGGCAGAGAGAGGACAAAGTTGCAAGATGATGGCTTCCTTCGCATGCGGGTCCATCTACTGGCGGAATCGGTTTTGTATCCAGAACCCTAGGGGAGGCCAAAAAATGTGGTCTTCAGATTTCCAGCCTCTGTAGTTCAGGGAGCCACACTAGAAGTTGGAATAAACACTGCATGGAAATTCATTTCTACCCCACGCTCGCAATGACGACACGACAGTCTAGTTTTTACACACTAGGCTGGCACAACTTTTTGGTTTTACAATTACAAAAATAATACATATTCATGATACAAACGTGAGGAAACACACGCATAAAAAAATAAGAATAAGATTGGCACTCAAAGTGCCAACCTTCAAGGATCACCGTTATCAATACGGTGATGTATATTCTTGTCTTTCTTGGATTTATACTACCGTAATCCTTTTCATGGAAGAATATATTTTGAATCCTCTCTTTTGGATTTTGAACCTCCAGAACAGTGAGACATACATTTCTGTTGTTTAAGCCACCCAGTCAGTGGTATAACAGCCCTAGCAAACTAATATGGCAGCCATAGACATGGGCATGGCTGTGTCATAATAAAACTTTATTTACAAAAACAGGCAGGTGGCCAAAGGACATAGTTGTCCAATCCCCGCCCTATATAATCATTTTTAATGATTGACTAATGTTCTTTTTAAAGGATGAACTACAGTTTACTTAAATCATTTCATATTGATGGATATAAAGGTTGTTTTTATTATTTGCCAGTGTAAGCAATATAACAATAGGGATTTATAGATAAATATGTTCACATATTCTTAATTATTTTCTTAGAATACAATTCTAGAGGGGCACCTGGGTGGCTCAGTCAGTTAAACGTCCGACTTCAGCTCAGGTCATGATCTCATCGTTCATGGGTTCGAGTCCCATACTTGGGGTGGGGATTATGCTCCATCTCCTTGAGGGAGGGGTATCTACATAATTTTATTTGGAATTTTTCTGTTTGGGAGGTTTGTCTCTCCCATCCTCCATTTATTTATTCCATTCATTTATTTACGTTAGTGTTGACTCATGGACATTTGTTTTATACCTTGGGTTATAATCCAGTACTGTGAACTTTATTTGTTGCTCACATCCTCCCAGCTTTGACCACTGAGAACTTTCAGTTGGCTCCCGTGTCCTTTTGATTTACACACACCTGTAGTTTTGTTTGTTGAGCATGTCCTTGCCTTCTGGAACTACAAGATGCTCCAGGCTCGTTCTATAGATTCACTGCCATATCCCTAGAATCGTCCATTTCTTTAATGAGCCCTGCTTCCTTTTATTGGAGAATGGTATTTAGAAAACAAAATCTGAGCTGGGTGTGCTTGTTGATACTGGGTGTCATTGCCTTTAGACTCAGTGAGCATAACTAGGAACTGGATATAGATGTAACTAACCTGTGCACACACACACACATTTATTGCTATTTCTATATCAGTATCTGTATTAAGCGAACTGTGAGTTCATATTGATGTCCTTGACTTTAATTCAGTACCACATGGTTCATTGTAGCCTTTCCCCCAAGCTTGTCTGTAAACTTCTATTCCAAAAGTGACTTGGTCCCCACTGTCTGCCACTCATTTACTTATTTGTCCAATTCCAGTAGACACATATAATGGTTCCAGAATGGTTAACCTGTCCCTCCATGGTAAACAGCTTCATCACCTAGAACACAGCGCTTTTGTACGGTTCCTTTTGTCTTTATAGGCTTATCGTTTCTAGTCATTTCCAAAGTTACTTAGGTCGGCCTCTTCCCCCCCCCACCCCCACCCCTTCAATGAAATTATGCCATACATTTGTAGTAGGTATTTTCTTTTGTCACATTCTGCATTTCATTCTGGGATCCCCTACCCTCTGGACTGAATTTTTTTCCAAATTTGCATACATTAAGGTTCACTCTGTGCTGTGGAGTTCTCTATGTTTGACAAATGAGTGTTATTATTATTCATCACTACAGGACCATACAAAATAGTTTCACTGCCCTAAAAAAAAATCTCCTATGCTTCACCTTGTCAACCCTCACCCTCTTGCAAATTCATGGCAGCCACTGATTTGTCTCTGTAGCCTTGCTTTTTCTAGGATGTCACATAAATGGGATCATATAATTTGTAGCCTTCTCAGATTGACTTCTTTCGCTTAGCAATATATATTTAAGATCCCCCATGCTGATTTTTGTGTCAATGGTTTGTTTCTTTTGACCACTGAATAGATAATAAAGCATTTTAACTAAACTATAGGAGGTAGATCTAAGACAAGAATTTGAGTGCAGGTATTTATTTGGGACATGATCCCAGGAGACATTGGTAGGGCAGTGGGGAGGGAATCAAGCCAGCTGTCACTGTGTGCACTAGGGGTCACTCCCACTGGGGACTGGGGGAGAGTACAAAGCATACCTCAAGCGATCCTTCCTTCCTTCCTTTTGAGTGCTCTTTCCAGGGGCATCAAGTCTGGCATTTGTGCTTGTCCGTGCACATGCTCTACCTGTCCCCTGCAGGGGCACCTGAGCCACCTGAGAGAGATGCAGGTGTTTGCAGTAAGTAGTCATCTGAGAATAGGGATGAGAGCTAACAGGCTGTGCATGGAGCAGGGCATCCTGTTCAGCTGGAAGGCGACGCTGCACAAAGCAGCTGTAACTGAGGAGTAGACAGAAGGGAGTAGGGAGAGAAGGTTTCCATCTTCGGTGGGGTGCACACTGTCTTCTCTGAGCATCTAGAGCTCCAGAAAATGAGCCCAAAATAGGGTCAAGGGCTGGCACTCAGAAAGAATCAGCTGGATGTCAT